CATTGTTGAGTTACATATTGTTTCTAGATTAGAAAATTAAAACAATTGGTTCCAAAAAGTCGAAACAAAGAACAAAGGTTGAAAAATGTCATCTTACCAAATAATTCTTTTGATAGGTTAACCCTTCCAGCTGTCTCATATTTCAGTTCCTCAACTTTCATTTTAAAATTAACATCATTTAATTTAATTGTGGTTAATGTTTGAGGATCTAAACGTACACCTAAAATTAATTCTGAGGTCATTATTGTCACTGAAAAGTACTACTCCAAAACACAACACGATACAGTTTTAAATCGATACACTCTTCGATTTTACAAAATCATCAAGAGAACATGATGCATTCATTGTTTTTCTTGTACGATTTTTTCATTTTATATCTTTGTATTATTTTTACTTATATTTCAGAAAACTTTTAATTGATTAAAACTGAAACTACTTTCACTACGTTGTTTCTAATGTTTTAATATTATGAATGAACATTCAATCAGAATAAAATGGCGCTGAATGCAAGAATATTTTAGTCAATTCACGATGGATCAGAGGAAACCACTATTAATTGTAAATAACAATTATTAATATACACTAGAAGAATAATATTTTAAAAGTATAGTAGATCGATAAGTAGCTTCGATGACTCGATGTTTATTGCATTCAATGTATCGATACTTTTGCGATATACAACTAACGCCGCACTATCAATGCGATGAAAAAGTTTAGTGAAATGTTTGCGATTATTTTTCAAAGCTAACATTCAAATAATTTACTTGTAGTGTTGTCCTGTATATAACTTTAATGTGACATAAGAATACGGAGAAATGCAAGACTTCTGCGAAAATATTAGGGTGGTCCCTCTTCGTGGTGGGGATAGACCATGAACAGTTAACGTGTAGATCCCAACAAACTCATAGAGTCTTTACTGTGTTAAACATGGACTTACCGATACACGTTATAGAAGCATGTATGTGTCATAAACTTTATATTAAAGTTATGAATATTTTTACGCTTTGTCACATAATATCATTCTAAGAAGATTTTTCTTCAAAGTAACATTAAGAAGTGAATAAAAATACATCTCATAAACTAGATTATATTTCATATATAAAAACCTTTAAAATACAATTATTCAAATCTATTATAACACTTTTGTAATAGGTGAAAATGCTAATGAAGGTATAACAGAAGAAGAGATTCTAAATGAACCACTTTTAGAAGAAGGCCCTTTACTTTCATATGCCTCAAAGGTAATTGTATATATCATATATTAAAATATATAATCTATATGTTGTAGATGTTGCATCAAACGATATAATACATAGAATTTTTGTGGAAGAGATAATAAGAGCAGTTGCTGAGTCTGAGTATGTCATATAATAATATTTATTATGTTCATCAATAATATTAACAAATAATGCACTTACATATTTTATAACAATATAAAATTACAAATTATTTCAAGTAACATGAGTCAACTTTCTATTGAATCCAGTAAATCATTAGATCCGGTATATGATGTACCGCTGCGAGAATCAGGTAAAGAAAGTCCAAGTAAAAGTACAGAGAAAGATGGTCTTTACAGTTTACTTTGGCCACAACCAAAGACTGTTATTGAATTGAAAAATTTTTCTGCACCCTTTATTGCTGGAAAGAAACTTTTTATATCCATAATACAGGTATAATTTTTACATGTAACAACAACACATTATTATTTTATTGCCTTTTATTTTACATACAACATTTTTGCATTATTTTATAGGGTAGTGAATCTATACACAGAATATTAGATGTGTGGGAAATTAGCAGGACTCATTTAATAGAGCTGGGCTATGATGTAAAAATTGGTGAAGTGCATCCTAGTTCTGGCAAATTACTTAATGATAACAGAATTGAATGTATAGTAAATAAAAAACTATTTAATACACCTGAAGGATATCAATTACATATTTCGCAAAATACTATTAAAGTTAGTGCTGGAAGTTTAGCTGGATTACACTATGCAGTTTGTACTTTTGTACAAATTTTACGATTAAGCAAAAATCATAATAAATCAGAAGCATGTGAAATCGAACCTGTTTTTATAAAAGATGAGCCAAGATTTACGCATCGCGGTATATTGTTAGACATCTCGCCGAGAGGACGTATACCCACGTTAGAATATTTGTTACATATGATCGATTTGTGGTCGTCCTTTAAAATATCTTACTTGCATTTATATTCAAGGCTTACTCCAAATTGTGATTGGCAATTATGTTATTCAAAATCAGAAATGGTTACACTCGATCGTTACTGCAGGTTTGTTTATACTTTTATATAAAATTCATATTTTCATATCTCCTTTACATCTGTATGTATATTTAAGCTTAATATTTCGAAAACATTCTTTTTTGTTTTAGAGATCGACATTTGGATCTAGTTCCAACTTTGGATGTTGATTCTAATGTAGGTCAGCATCATTTGTCTCAAATGTGGCCTATATTCCAAGAATTATTAGCAGTATTTCCAAGTTTAAGTTATATCCATGTTGGACCTAGGTTGGCTAATTTACTCGTTCAAGCGGATAATTTTGATTTAAATTTATCAGTCAATGAAACTATAGAAACAGATATGTCAGAGGTGTTTAAATCATATTCATGTCTTCAAGAATTGTGGCATATTTTAAATTTAAGTTCAAATACAACTTTGTTACTCTGTTCAAATGGATTACATTCTAAAGCAGAATTTCATAACATACCTACCAATATCATTCTTGTTGAATACGGATTTCAGGTAAATAAAATTGAATTTCACTTACTAATTTGTGAAACAATACTATTGAATACATCATTACAAATTTTCATATAGGCCGATTATGATTTTTCTGAATGGACAGAAGCATTTAGAATAGCAGGTGGTAATGTATTACCCAGTTCTGGAACAGCAAGTTATAATAGTTTAGCAGGATGTCCAGCATCAACTTATGCAAATACAAAGAATGCAATAAAAACATCTCTTGTGCAAGATTCAGTGGGTATAGTTGTAGCTCACTGGTCTGGGAGACACCATCTTACTCCCCATCCTTTTGCTTGGATTGGATATTTAATAGCAGCAGGTTTGGCATGGAATCCAACTAGTGAGGTAGATATAGGAATTGATGATAATTATGAAATGTCTGAAGCCTTTGGATCAAGGTATATAAAGAGAAAACTTACACAGAATTTATAATCATTACAAGCTTATATATAAAATAGAGAAACAAATTCTAATAAGTATGTCTTTGTAGGCAAAAAAGTATTACAAAGTTGTTGGATATTCATGTTTTCCAAGATTCAGAATATAAGATTGGTAATGCAATATTAGAATTGGGACGTTTAGATACTCTAGTACTTACTTTGAGTAAGAATCAAGGAACAAAGGATTTACAACAAATTCCTGATAATCGGGGATCCACCTTGTACAGACTATTGACAGATTCAGATAATGTAAATTTAGAATACCTTTCAGCTGATTTATTTGCAGTAAGTATTACAGAATAAACATAAGTTATATTAAAAGTAGATAAATAATATTTTCATTTTATTCAACAGAAAGTAACAAAACAAGTTAAACGTATTTCGCATTCGTTGTATGAAGCTAATTTATCGTCAAAATTTTCATTAATGGAAATACAAGAGCTTCAATTGACCGCTGGTTTAATGTTAACTGCATGTCAAATCGGCAGAACATTAATTGGCGTTGGTGTTAATCCTAATAGTAATATGGGTCTGGCAGTAATTAATTTAGGAGTATGTAATCTGCCACCTACATTTAGAACTGATGTAGCAAATAAAATGTTGGCTCACATAGAGCAATATAAAGGTTCGTGGTTGCAAAGGCATTTACCTGAGGGCCTTCAAAGCTCTTTACTAATCTTGACTAGTGCTTTACATAGGTTTGTGCCAGAAACGTAATATTTTGAGCTTCAGAAGTATGATTTTTCATATTAATATATAAAATGAATATTAGCTCCTGCTATACAAGACTGCAGGTACATACTGCGTTAAAAGCAATTACATAAAGAGCTTATGAATGTTCCTTTAAAAGAACACTTGCTGATACAGAGTAATGTAATGTGAAGTTATTCCATCTATTTTAAATACAATTTCAATTGTTCTTTCTAATTGAATATTTCATATTACAGTGATTTTTATTATTTTTGTGAAGGTAATTACAAAGGGAACATTCTCAAGGTCTAATGAAACTTCATTATATAAAGTATTGTTATTGCCAGTTTATAATGTGAAAAGTAATAACTGCAATTATAGAATTAATTCTGTTAAATATAATTGTATTTAGTAGTTATATATGTGCTTTTAAATCATTACAAAATATTAATTACATAAGATTTTTGTGGTAGAATTGATATTACAAATTTATGTATAAAAGTATTTTAATACTAATTGTAAATGTTCTTTAAATAAGGTAATTTTGGTATACTATGAATCTCCTACATTCAGTTAACAGTAGTAGTTTTACTGTATTAAGCAATCCAATAGTTTCACCCTAATTAGCATACATTTTTAAACAAAACTTAAATACTTAGTATTGTTCAGTTCTCTATAAAACAATTGTATACCTATATGTTCGTAATATTAATTTATGTTAATCAAGTACAATACATTTTGATATTTTTGAAATTTTTATACTGTCAAATATATATGTAAAAAAATTAATATACCAATAGTGTTTTAAAAAATGACATTTTTTATGTGTAATGTTTAATAAAATGATTATAATTCTTAAAATATTTAACACTATAATACTTCATAAAACTATTCAACATTTGCAACATTAAAACATGAAATTTTCTTTACCAATATAAAATTGGTAATTTAATGAACAAGTATTATGGAACAGTTTAATTATAAATTAATTACACATTATTTACAAGATTAGTTTTAGTAGGTTCAGTCCACCCTGCCATTTCTAAATCCTGTTTATGTTGCATTTCATTTTCAAGAGCCTGCAGTCTGTAGAATTCATTAATTTCAAATTGATACTTGGGTGCTGTAATTCCAAAAAAACTAGCTAACCATTCACCTACACAATCACATCCATCCAATAATTTACCACTGATGTAAGTAGTTCGATGCCAAGCCCAAGGTAACCAAGTTAGAGTTTTCTAAAAATTTAATATTTTATTTTTATACAAAGAACATTAAATTTATTTTTATTTGTAAAATGCACAAAATTATTATAATGATGATTATAAACAAAACTTAACTGGGTCTATTTCATCTGCTGCTTTATTTGTTTCTGGTGTATCAGTATCATCATCAGAATATTCTTCTAAATCCCCATCCGAAAAATGTAATACTCGCTTTGGTCGTCTCAATGACTTACGATCCTAAAATTACATGTCAATGAAAATAAACTTTTAATGCGCACTTTTCTGACATTGCATACTTGTGTGTTGGTATCAGTATTCTCATTTAAAATGACTTCTGATAAATCAGACTGTTCAATTCTTTCTGGTTCCATATTTGATAGTTTAATTATTTATTTTTAATTACTTTTTTATATATAAAATTATATAAAGCTGTTGATGTACACTTTGACAGATCACATTCGTAATGTAAACTACACAGAACAATGGATGGCTTGGTCACACATGAGTCACGTAATATATTCGAAAATCATTCATATGAAAGATACAATCATAGACTAACTATTTTATACGCGGTAAAGTAAGTTAAGTATCCCAATTTACTCATTACAAAACTATCTTTTGCGCTTGCGCTCTTATAATTAGAAACATTATACGAAAGCATTGCATATTATGAAACATAACCTTAAAAACAGATGACATATTTATCGGTGTATAGCATTAATAATTATCGTATCATTCATAAGAAATAATTCCAAATACTGTTTAATGATGTAAAAAACATGTTATTAATGTGTAATCATTTACTCCGTCGATAATTTATTCCCAAACATATTTGCCATCTGTATAAATGAACGTGCACTTCGTATCAACAGGACGCTATATAATTTCAAAAATAGTAAAAGTCTTCACCGAGGATTAAAATATAACAACAGGTTATGCAGGTTTACAGAAGGTTATAATATACTAGTATTGTTTTACAGCATTTTACAGTCTATTTATTTCTTCCTTACACACCAAATCCATTTCCTTTCGCAATCCAATACATTTAATCGTGCTTATTACGAAGAATACCTAGTCGAGGTATTTAGCCATACAGAAACGAGTTAGACAAGGAAAGAAATAAAGGTAGACAAGGATAGCAGTAGTACCGCGTGTTAGACAAGGACAGAAAATTTTCAAAGCGAGACTAACGCCATCTCGCGTTTAGTGATTCAAACTACAATTTTTTAACAGGAACACAGAATATTAACAGAGGTATTAGACAAGGAAAGCACTACTGTGCGACAAGGATAGAGAGAAAACGTTTCCTATTGGCTGGCGGGCCGCTGAGCTCGGCCAATCAGACCCTAAGTTAAGCCGGTCGGTGAAAAATCATTAATAACTCAATAATTAGGATCATTTTGTGAACTTTTAGAATTGAGGAATGTAGTGTGGACCTTTATCTACATTCACATATAGTTTTCAGTTCGCTAAACCCTTTCAATAATTAGTTATTAACAATTATAGCAGGTGATGTCGGGAACGATACCGCATACCGTCAAGCACCTTTCCGGTTTTTCAATAATTTTACAGCTTTCTACTAAATTCTCGTGCAAATAACTATACGCATCTGAAAGGCAACTCCCTTAGCTCCATTCTCATATAATTTTTATTAATATATTCGGTTTAGTTTAAGAGTTATTAAATATTATTTGGGAGCGTCCCTGTTCATCGTACTCGCGTCAAGTGGAATTTTATAAACTATTGCTGCAACTTCTTTAGCTACATTCTCATATAACTTTTATGAACATATTCCGTTTAGTTTAGGAGTTACTAAATATTATTTGGGAGCGTCCCATATTCATCCTACTCGTGTATAGTGAACTGTTACAAATAATACGACGAGTTTAATACTGATCCAAATAAAATTTAATAACTCATTATCTGCGAAGAATTTGTTAACTTTTTGTATTGAAGAATGAAGTGTGGATCTTTAGTAACTTTCTCATATAGATTTTAATGCTCTAGAACCTTTCAATAATTAGTTATTAACAATTGTAGCGGGTGATGTCAGGAACGGTACCGCATACCGTCAAGTATCGTTCCGGTTTTTCAATAATTTTATAGCTTACTACTAAATTCTCGTACAAATAACTATCCGTATCTGAAAGGCAACT